AGATTTTTTAAATTAAAACTGTACCTTGGCTCAAAAAAGGTTGAAAAACACTGCATTAGATTAACAGTAAATACATAAATACTTCCTACTTTAAAAGGTTTGTTAGGGTTTTCTGTATGTTTAATTTTGAAATGTTTATATATTTTCACAGTTGAAAATAAATAACTTTATTTTTTAATATATTTGGATCTATGTCAGAAGCTTGTTTAGACATTAACAAAAAGTCTCCAATTCAATATAAAACAAATTTTTTTAGAAAGAAAGAGACAGAATGACACTTTGTTTATACTGTCTGTATTGTTAAAACATATATTTTGTCATGTAAAATTTGAATTATACTTTAGAATTTAAGATTAAGTGTTTCTATTTTAGGACTGGAATGCTGAAGTGTCCTTGTTCTGTTTTGAAATGAGTTAATTGAAGTACTTAAACTAAATGATGCTGTGTTTCCACATCATGCAGGCCAGTAAAACCCAGAGCTAACAAAGATTTGGTGAGTATATATTTTTTTAATTGTTGTTTCATGAGCATTTTCTTATTGTCACGTTTTGTAAGCTGAATAACTTGTATATTAGGTGATGGTGCTCAATCCAGCTTTCATGAAGTACGTTCATCAGAAGTGGCTGGGGAAGAAAGGAAGGTACCCATCCACCGGCTTTATGACCTTGATTTCCGCACTTCACATTTGTGATGAGGTACGTTTTTCGTTTGTTTAGCTTGGCAGAATTGTAAAGTTTATTGTTTTTTTTTTTTCTTCCAAACTTCTTAAATCACTTTTTCTCAGCATATATTAGAAAATTCCAATTACGGTAAAAAATAAAATAAAAATAAAAATTGTAGCTGTAGTATATGTTTTCAAAATTATTTCACCCAATAGGCAATATATTTTATATTGGAATCACATTTTTGGGGGGTTTGTCACTTAGGAGTGATTTTACTTCCCCTATTTTTTCTCTGCAAGATATATATAGTGTATCTACCTTGCAAATAAATACTAGCCTAGCAGTGGGCCTACCACATATGTATAAAATATTCTTTGTTCCTTTTTTTCCCAGGTTCATGTGTTTGGTTTTGGAGCTGACAGCAACGGAAGCTGGAGCCATTACTGGCAACCAATGAAAAGCAAAGAGTTTAAAACTGGACCTCATCCTGGAAAACAGGAGTACGCAGCGATAGACAAGTTGGCCAATGAAAACACAATATACTTTTATAAAGGAAATTTAATATTTCCAGAAATGAGAAGCTTAGTTTTTTTTTCTCCCAAAAAGTTAGAGGGAAAAAAAAGAAGCAGTGAATAAACTAGACCTTAAACCTCGCACTTTAAGTTCTAAGTTTCAGCTTTAAAGGAAAATAGAATACAAAGACTTTACAACTGCTATGACAGTGGCAATGATCTGAACACAGAAATTTATCGGTATAGTTTGCATGCCAGGTGTGAGCTACCCTTCAAAGGTAGCATTGTTATTATTTTTCACATCAGCTAGCATGTGGCTGCATATGCTTGTTCTGAAATAATTGTATTTTTACAAGTGTAGAATTTATTCTTATTTTTGACTGGAGTAGATATGTCTTCTCTCTCTTTTTATTTATTATTTATGAAGTCATTGTGGCACATGGAATGTGAAGTATTTAAACTGAGTGGGATATTTATACATTATTTTTATTTTCAGGGTCTTTTTTATGTTAAGCTCAAAGTGGACATTTCATGCTTTTAAATCCCTCCTTTTCATACGTAAACCATTCACTACTGGTCTGTATGAAGTAGAACTGCAATGCTTTGGTCTGAAGTCCTGGTTGTCTTATCTCCACAGACCTCTCGTTTACCTCTGGGGCACATTTTAGAGCAACTCAATTTAAAGCAACTTGTTTTGGAGCTACTCGTTTTAGAGCAACTCATTTTGCTGCAGTCTTTCTGACCCTCCAGGTCACAAAGAACTCCACTTGTTCCTGTTCGGCCATTTTTGTAGTTTGATAACAGCGATACCAATTATCTACTGGCAGAGAAACTTTTCATTCCCAAGCTTATTAAAGATGTCAACAATGGAAGGCTTGTCCATCCAACCTTGCATGTTGGAGCCAGAGTAGGAGGTAGAAGACGCACAACCTGCAGATCCACACATTCAAATGAATTCATCACAATGGTGTCTTTACTGTATGAACTCATTCTCCATCCATACCAACTACCTACAAAAAGGACTGTAGTTTAACTACAGTGTAAGGATGTAAGGAATCCTGTGCATTAATACGTTAGACTTGAACGTTTTGACTTGTTTACTTGCAACTTCAGCACAACTGAGCTTGGACTACAAAATCGCTGCGAGGGGAAAAAATGGTGGATAAGCCAGAAATCGTGACCTCGTTTTGCAGTTCCACAACAAATGCAGTGACAACATGACCAAGAAGACATAATAACAAATAGAGAAAAATGAACAGACTGAAAAATATATCCCAAAAAGAATTTAAAGATCTCCATGCAGCACTGGGAGAGAATTAATTACAATTTTTTGCACTCCTAAAAAAGTACACAATAAGACATATTTAAGGGCTAAAAAAGTGGGTTTTGCATGATTTGTCCACTTTAAGACAAATGGTGATGCTGCTGTGGTTTACAACTGGTAATAAACTGGTACAACACTGGTGTGCTTTGGAGTATTATACAGCTGCATCATCCAAGAGTTCTTGGCCTTAAAGCTGCAGTATGTAACTTTTACAAACATATTTTTTCATATTTATTAAAACAGTTGTGACTGAATGGCATGAGACAGATCGTCTGTGGGGAAGAGAAACGTTGAGCTCCTCCAGCACCTCTTAATTCGACTTCTACCGTCTGAAGAAATGCATCGCCCTGGGACAAAAACAACCAATCAGAGAAAGGAGGCGGGTCTTAGCAGAGTCAGTCATCATCCTGTATGCTACTCAATGTGTTAATGGTGGAAAAACGTCTTACAGTTAAAGGAAAACCGTAACTAGCCTTAGCCTTTGTGGCTAACTAGCCTTGGCCTTTCTGGCAAACTAGCCTTAGTGTTTGTTCCAAGCTATGTAGTGGCTCGCCAACTACATAGCTTAGCAAAGAGGAAGTGGGAAGGCGTGAGCACGAGAGCTATTGACGGCACTAAAACTCCTCCTGCCTCTGATTGGTTGTTTCTGACTGAGTGGTGCAGTTAGTACTGGGAGCACGGGGAGAAGGCGGAGGAGCTCAATTATTTCACAGATTATCTGTATTATACTGTCTTTTTCTGAATCATGAATGCTGATTTTAACAAATTTCAAAAGTCCTGTTTTCTTCTGTTACCTCCTGAATGATTTGTTGATGTACTCTTGGATTACTTTTGGCAGGCTGACCTTTCCTGAGAAGTGGTCAGCCTTCTCAACTCCATGTTTTTTTCATTTGTGGATAGTGGAATCAGCATGTTGACTTCATCTAGTCTGATGTCTTGCGCTTTAAGAAGCTTTAACATACTTCATTCCAAAGCAACAAAGCCTGGGTGTCGCTACCGAACTCAGCATTCCGAGAAACGATGCAGTTAATCACAGGTCATTCATCGTTTCACAAGTCTTACATTAGTTTTTCACACTATCAGGTTAGATAAAGCACTGCCCTTTTTTACACTATGTATTGACCCTTTCAGCAAATTAGAATATTATTGAAAAGTCAGTTTAATTCAGTAACTTTAACCAAGAAATTACACACAGATGGATGTTTAAAAGCCTTTATTTTTGCTAATTATGATTCCCCCCCCCCTTTTTTTACACTTAATAAAAATATAAATATTACATCAGACCAACAAAAAAATTCTAAAAAAGAAGTTATGTTTAATACCTGCTTAAAGATTATTTTCAAAGTTACTCTTAATCTGACAATCTGTTTTTTGTTGTTTTTTTATGTATACACAGGATAAAATTTGGCAAGCTGTTACAAAACTCTTTAGATTCCACCAAACTATTTCCAAGTCTTTGCTGCAATCTAGTCACCTGTGCATCGACTAACAGGTGAGATGCATAACGAACTTTGACTCCATTAAGATCAGAAGAGGTTTAAGGTGAAAATTTGACTAATATTTACCCTTTTGTAAACTTGGTGCACCCGCTTCGCTGGTTTATTTTTGTAAACTTGCCCCTCCCTGTTGAACACGCTGTGTGTACTGGAATTGGAGATAATTATTCTTACGGTTATTAATCTTGAGAACCACCTGTCAGAATGTGATGAGTGCATTGAACCAGCATGATTTCTACACTGAAAAAAAAAAATAAAACACAGGATAAATTTAGAAGATATGAGAAACTGTCATAACTGTAGAGAAAAGTTGTTCAGGACTGAAGGCTGTTGCATTTTCAGATTTAGCAGCTTTCCCTTCTTCATACCAGCTCTTTGGAAGTTGTGACTCATCCCGATGGATTAATGCAGCAAACACAACATTGGCGTGGTCACAAGGAAGTTGTTCAGCAGAAATAAATCACAAACTCAACAAAAGCTTTTTGTAAAGTGCAGCCAATAAATGTAGTTCTATCAGATAACATTAGCTAAAATATTTAATGACGTGACTTTGTTTCCTCCTTCGCTCACACGCAACTGTAGATATAAAAACTACAAACTTTAATATCTACAAAGCCTTCTTACGTATGATCCCACAATATATTTCTTCAAAGTGAAGTGTCCTGCAAAGTTCTGTCCAGTTGCTCTCAGTATATGATTTTATCTTTCTATACTCTTAAGAGACTTGAGTG